ATTTCATATTTGTCATGTGTTACAAAACTTTAGAGATGCATGATTATATACAAAGATAGAAAAGTATGTATTCTACACTATTTAGGTTGATTTTTTAGAGTACATCATTTCTAACAAAGGATTAATGATAGATCTTAAGAAGGTCCAAAATATCATTGATTAAACAGTTCCAAAAATAGTCAAAAAATATGTAATATTTTTTGAAATTTATCAATTATTATCAAATCTTCATTAAGAATTTTTTTCAAGTTGCGGCTCTTCTTATACATTTGAAATGTAAAGAAAAACTTGAGTAGAGTAAATAAGTAAAAATATCTTTTGAAGCCTTGAAGACAACATTTATTTTTACACCAATTTTGTATAGCGTTGATTTTTCTATGGAATTTTTTATGGAAACAAATGCATCATACTTTACTAAGGGTGTTGTTTTATTACAAATAGAAAAAAATAATAAGTTCCACTTAGTTGCTTTTTATTCTAAGGAATTTTTAAAAAATAAGATTAACTACAAGATCTATAACAAAGAGCTTCTTACAATTGTGGATTCATTTCAAAAGTGGCATCATTATTTAAAAGGTACTTTTAGTTTAATTATTATATATACATATTACAAAAACCTCAAGTACTTCATGACAGCATATGTTTTGAATCATTGCCAACCTTCTTGGAATATGTCTTTATTAAGATTTGATTTTAACATCACTTATAGATCCAAAAAAATAATAAAGTTTATCAAATTTTCTTTCTAGAAATTTTTGATTTGTACTTAAAGAAAAAGATATAGCTTTTGATCAACAAACAATAATTTTTTTGAACATAGAGCATTTTCATCTTTGAGTAATAAAATCAATATTGACTATAGATTCAACCTTTATCAAGCAAATTCAATCAAGTATGCCTTTTGATTCTGTTGTTTATGATATCAAGAACAATTCTTTTAAGTCTTATAATACTTTTAGGTTCAAGTTTAAGAATAATCTACTCTATTTTAAGGAAAAATTATATATTTCAAAAGACAAAGCATGATTACATATTTTTCAAGCTCAGCATAACTTTTTAACAGTCAGTCATTTTGGATATAATAAGACTTTAGAGTTAATATTTAAAGATTTTTAGTAGTTTCAAATGTGGAAGGCAATCAAAGACTTTGTAAAATCCTGTGATATTTGTTCAAGATTCAAAACTCCTCGTCATCGACCTTATGGACTTCTTCAGCCATTACTTATTTTGAAACAACCATAGTCTTTTTTTTCTATAGATTTTATCATGAATCTTTTAATCTTAGATTTATAAAATTCTATATTTATAATAGTAGATCATTTTACTAAGATGGCATATTTTATATCATATACAAAATCTATGACAAATGAAGAAACAACTAAGTTTTTTCTTAACACTATCTATTGCTATCATGGATTGTCCAAAGATATTATATTAGATAGGAGGATTCAATTTATATCAAGATTTTAAAAAATTCATTTCAAAATATTAAAAATAAATATAAAGCTTTCTTTGGCTTTTTATTTTAAATTGATGGGCAAACAAAAGAGGGAATCAAGTTCTAGAGTAGTATTTGAGGTATACCATCAATTATCATGAAGATGATTAGACAATTTTTTTGCCATTGGCAAAGTTTGTATACAATAATTTGGTATATTTTTCTACTCAATAAACATCTTTTTTTGTCAATTATAGTTATCATTGATAACTTAATACTTTTGACTTTTTAAAAGTTGATAATTTTATAATAGAAGATTTAATAAATTATTTGTAATAATTATATGCAAGAATGAAGGCACAATTAAAAGAAGCTCAAGAATGACAAAAGAACAATGCGGATGCCTATCACAAGGAACAACTACAATTCAACATACACAAAATGATATGGCTACTTCATGACAATATCAAGACCACTTGTCTTTGTGATAAGTTAGACTATTGTAGGCTTAAACCTTTTCCTATTAGTGAACAAGTCAATCTTGTTGCTTATCATTTATATCTATTGGAGTCCATGAAAATCCACCTTGTATTCCATATGACCTTTTTAGAACCATATAAGATAATGAATATCTTGAGCAGATGACAAATGCCACTTCTTCCCATAGAAGTGGATAATAATAAAAAATTTGATATGGAAGAAGTCTTAAATTCAAGGCAGCACCAAAATAGATTAGAATATCTTGTTCAATGGAACAAATATGATATTAAAAAATACACATGGGAGCTAATAAAAAATCTTATAAATGTAATAAAAAGGATGAGATTTTTCATTAATAACATCTATTAAAACCAAGATGAAGAATAACAAATCTTTACTGTAATAGAAATCAGATTGAAGAAAAATAACATTCTATCTTCTACTCTTGTTTGGTACTATTATACATTTGTAATGTTAAAAAGAAGGAAAACTAACAATCAACAGATTCAATTCAAGAGCTATTACTTGCTAACTTAGAAGATAAAATATTATGATTGTTACAATCTTCAAGATGACGTAATTGAGACAAAGATCGTCAAAAGAAAGATATCTTTCTTCAAATAGATGACAAAATATAATGTGTTTGATATCACAACCTTAGAAGAAACTCTTGATGTTTAGTGATTTTATTAAAGGTCAGAACAACTTTTCATAGTATTCCAAATATTTAATTTGAAGAGAGTTACAAAGGCCACAACAACAATTAAATAACAAGGTAGTCTTTCCACCATGGTATGAGACACTAAAAATATTTGAGAGGACCTATCAACGATCTTTGAAAAAAATAAAGATTAAAATATATAACAAATACAATTCATTACATCTTAAATTTCTTCAACATATGATGACCGTTCTTTATGGAACTTCTCTCTAGAAGAGGAGATAATGTCACAAACATATATATCTACTCTAATATTTATTTATATAATTAAATAGAAATACATAAAAATAAATTTATTTCATAATATTTTCTAAAAGAACTTTCCAGAAGCTTTATAGATGATGCTTTGATTTTATATGTGTTTGTAGTTGATTGATAGGTTAGAAACTTGGTCAACAAATTAACCATGTGTTAGTAGCTTGCATAATAAGTTAATTAGATGGTACTTATATATGAAACTTATCTTGCAAGTTAAAATATGTGTCTTGCAAAGTCAAATCATTTAGAAGGTCCTATAAGTCACCACCACATAGCTTCTACTTAAGTATATATATAGAGGCAAGAGTGAAGCCTTCTTCAGTCTTGTTAACACCTTTCTAGTCTTTAGCCTTGTTTCAAGACTTTTTAGTCTTCTTGTCTTTGGTAATAGCTATTTTAGTTTAATAATATCATCTTTGAGCGATTTTTTAGTTTTTTTGAATGATACAAGAATATATTAAGGATTTCTTTCTTTGAGCTTCATGTCTTTGACATAAATTCAAAAAAGAATTATTATTAATAAATCCTACTATAAAAAAATATTAATCAAATATATAGGAGTAATATAATTACTATGAATACTTTTGAATTAAATCAAGCTTCTAAATTAGCGTTGGGCCGAGATGTGCATGGTATTAATCCAACATCGTAAAATAAAATTGCATCTAGAATTTTATATAAATTTGAATATTGTTATAATTTTAAAATAAGTACTAATATCTACAACTCAATCAAAGAGATTTTACTTTGATGTCTTCAATTCAACTAATATCTATGATATCAACAATCCACTCAATTCAAAATGATTAGAAGGTTTAGGATATAGCTAAATGAGAAGATGGAAGAGGAATGGTGAGAAATTAAAAGTCTTAATTTTTTTTCCTATTTTTCTTATCTTTTTCATATTAAATCTTAATTTTAGGAAGAAAGAAGAATAAGAAAAACCATTTTCAACATCTTTGAATGAATATGACATAGTCAACGAGAAGAGTAAGAATTTAAGATCTTCATCAAGACTCTAGTTGTCACTCTTGCTATTTGTTATACCACTCTTACTAACTCTTGTTATTTGTCATGGACTAAAAACACAACCTTCATAAGTTTGAGTAGCCAAATGGCAATGGAACCTTAGCCTTGAGCACTACTATGGTAGTTGACATAATTTGATGCTTGCACAACCAACAAGTTTGAAGATAGAATTCGGCGTTATGCCCAAACAAAGAAGAGTATGCCAACTTATAAAGTATGTGCCCACCTCTCTTGTAAGAGACAATGATGCGTTGTCTTTGGCATAAATGCATGTGGTGATGTTATATGAGAATCCACCAACAAGAAGTTCCATTATGATTAGCTAAGTAGACAATATTGTGAGCGCATGTAGCCATGTGGGTGGAACCAATTGTAGCCATGTGTTGTGTGGTTTGTATAATAGTAAGTAAAAAAAAAAAAAAAAAATCCATGTGAAAAGTTTACCTATAAAGATTAGATTTGTAAGTTTAAAGGATTGTGTCAATGAAATATTTTCTTATTATAGTTGCTAGATTTATTACTCTTAATCATACAAAATCATCTCTTGTGTAATATCTCTAATATCTAACTCAAACTATTTGAATTAGACAATTGGTAAGAACTAATCCACAAAATCAAGGCCTATGATATGCAAGTAGATGTTGATTTGAAGCTTGAACCTCTAGTTGAAGAATTTTTTTTCGTCTTGTAAGCCAAATTGAAAAAAGAAGATAATATTATTTATTCCATGAGTTACCTTCTAATTTTGTTTGTGAGCCTACCTATCAAACGTTTGTCTTTGAAGAAAGCTCTTGCCAACCTTCTATGGATATGTTTTATTACATGGGACTAGATCCCTACTCAAAAAAAAGTTCATCCCTTTTTTTGAAATCATTTTTTTTGAAATATTCCATACTATATGGAGCATTGAAGGGAGTGGTTAAGGCCGGGCATTTGCGCAGACAGTAAGATCTCCTCCAACTAGACTGTGTCGATCTTATACTCCCATGGCAACATATCCAACACAATGGACAACTTTCCATCTATACCAAAATAAAACAATCATCAATAATCAATGCACTAGATACCGCAGTATTCAGTGGCAAGAGGTCATATCATACACGCCTACATGAATTAAAATGTTGATGCAAGATACATCCACCACGGTCACTTTGACAGGTCAGCTATCCGAATTAACACATGCAAATGGAACAAAGTTACCCTTTCATTTCTAGGGAGGAAAAACCACTCAGAAACTTAATGCTTAGCAGGAGCCTTCATCCCAACCTGAAAATTCCCTCCATCTCCGTATCTTCAATGAATGAACCAAGGACTTCATCAACGTCCTGCAAGAACAGGAGATACAAAATGAACATCCGTAATTATTAATGTTTCACGATCAAGCTTTAAAGGATACATTTGGTCCATTATCAGATCGAAGCCAATCAAAATTCGAAGAACTTGCACACACAGTGCAATGAGTATAATTGATCTGTGAAAGTAAAACGTTTTTTATGTGTTTAAAAGAGAAATGATTAAAGAAACTACAAATAAACTTACATTCACATTGACAGATGCAGCAGTTTCGGCTTCAGCATCTGATGTCTAACGAGCTGCAGCAGCAGCCGGTGCAGCACGGAGGCGGCCGAAGCGGCACCATTCTTGATTTACAATCCCACGCTTGGAATTAAGAATCTAACCAGTGATGGAAACCTAATAGGAAACACATAATCTACGGCGAGGCATTCAGCACCTCGTTCAAGAGAGCTCTAACGCGTTCCATCGACAGAGAGACGCGAAAATTTCGTGCAGACCTCCGTCCACCTTCAAAAAATAAATACGCCCAGCGTTAATTATGCTAATGCTTACTATCCAACACTTCGTAAAATCCCAAAATCAAAAACATAGGACCACATTCACCTCAAAACACAACGACCCAGAACTCACCTAAGTCCAGACAACTCTGCAACATGCTTGTACCACCTCGCTAAATTCTGATACTCCGAGGGCACGCTCTTCACCTTCGCAAAAACTGCAAAGTCATCCCCAGAGACCTGATATCTGAACCCCATATCCAATGAAACCAGCCGAAAGACATGCTAAGCTTTGACTCTTCTACCGCAACCCTGGCAGCACCTCAAAGCCATCTAAAAGACACAAGGAAAAAAAAATAAACAAAACAAATCTCTTCTCTCGGCATAATTTCTGCATTACTAGACTGCAACTTACAAAGAAATATAAATAAAATAAAAAACTATTGGTAGCAGGACAGTCAATCATACACCCACGCACCATGCAAACATACCCGCTAATGTAGCTGCGAGTGAAGAGGTACTGATCGAGCATCTTCAATCCCTCAGGCGTGGAGAGGTCGTCGAATTGGGCAGCCATTCTGCGAATTGGGAATGCAAGCAAGCAGGCGGCAACACTCTCAGCAGCATTTGAAGCTTTAAGTCCTTGAAGCTTCGAACGCCATGGCCACGAAGGAGAAGGACTTATTCCCGCGTGTATCCTTCCACAGCGGAACTATGTGCTCTATCACCGTTTCACCGCCTCCGATTTCACAAATAGCCCATCGCACTACTCTTGACTTCCTTTGGAACCATTTTTGAAATGGATTTGCATGTTTCATAACAATAATCTAGTTCTGTTTTTTTTGCACTGATTGTAAATGTTGATTGTAAATGTTATACTTTATGTTACACATCATTTTTTTGTGAGAACATGGGTCAATAATTTATTCAAAGAGTATACTATTACCATAATGATAAAAGGTAATTGAAGAAGTTATGTTTAAAAAATTACACAGATTCTAAAAGAGTTGCATATAATATTTTTTAAAAAATAAATAAATTATTTATATTATGAATGTATATATATATATATATATATATATATATATAAATGTTAAATTGACCCTACTAGTGATTAAATAAACCTTCCTATCATTATATCATCCATCCCTAGTTCAAATTCTTCTATTTTGATTTTCTTATTTTGATTTTCTTGTCTCTCGTTGTAAATGAAAGAATATAAGGTATTGTCTATTGGTTTATCTCATTATGCCTCTTTAATTATGATTGAAGTTATAGATCTACTTAAATATTGAATTTAGTTTCATTTCTTAAGATTTTTTTTGATGGAATGAGTCTCTTGTATTTGTAGTTGACATGATGAATTGTTTGAGTGTATATTAGGTTAGCCTTAAATTGAATCAGTAGAGTTTTCAAAATTGGCATAAAGAGGACGAGGAGCTTAACTTATTTAAATATTTTAAAAAAGAGAGCACAAAAATATGAGCTTCTATAGAAGATTAAGTTAAATGAGGTCACTATTTGAAAGAATTAGGACAAGAATAGCAAATAAAGAAGGTCAAGATATGGAGATAGGGGTTAGAAACAAAAATGACATATAAAAAGCTAGAATTGAAAAGCGGACAAAGGATACAATGACAAGTGGTTTGATTTCATTACTACTTGGATCTATTTAATGTTTTCATATATATATATATATATATATATATATATATATATAAAAGATAATATATCTAAGATGAATCAATATTATTTTAAAGTTTAAAATAAATCAAAATGGTGATTTTAGATCATAGATATATATTTGCTATAATTCTTATTTAGATAAAAGTAGATTAATTTTATAATATCTTTTAGAAAAGTTTTTTAAAAGATTTATAGATGTTTCTTTGACTTTACATATGTTTATATTTGATTGATAAATTAAAAACTTGATCAACAAGTTAGTCACATGCTATATATGTTGATAGCTTGTAAAACAATCTAACTATGTGGCGCCCATATATAAACTTATTAAGCAAGTTAAGATACGTGTTGTACAAAGTCAATACATTTTGGAGGTCCTATAAAACATTGCAACATAGCTTCCAGATAGATAGTATATATAAAAACAAGGATAAAGCTTTTTTTACTTTTATCAATTCTTTTCTTGTTTCTAGTCTAATTTCAAGAAGTCTTTAATTTTCTTGTCTTTTGGTAATAGCCATTCTAGTTTCTTTTTAATATACATAATTTCTTATTTTTATTTTATCTTTAAAAAAACTTCGTTAGTTTTTTTTTTATCAAGTTCTTATTCTTGATAAATTGATAAGAATACACTTATAATATTAGAGCTTTGTCTTGGCAAGAATGGATTACCCATTTCTCTTAATAAGACATTAGCATATAAGGAGTTGCGGATTATCCTCTTCTAAATTAATATTATTTTTAGTATTTTTTTTTCTTAAGTTCTTTTTTTACTTATTTTTAGTAATATTAGATATTTTTTATCTTCTAAATATTATTATTATGCTAGAACTTTTCAAAATAAAAAGTACAATAATATAAATGCAAAAATAATTAAGAAAGTTAATGCTTGCAATGCATCAACTCGATTTATGACTACAAGGAAGAACAAGAATGACAAAAAGTAGAGGTATAGAGATGATTGGAGCTACTTCAATATCTGCACCAAATTATATGCCTTCTTTTATGGTAGAATATCATTCCAGTACTAAAAAATCAAGAATTGTCTTACATAAGAAGTTTGATGGTACAAGATCAAAGTTTTGAAAATTCATCAATCAAGTACAACTAGCAATTTAACTTCAACCTCAAAGCTATCCAATTCTAGGATTATAAATCAGGTTTATTGAAACACTACTTTTTGATTTTGCATTATCATAGTTTTTATCTTTTTTAGAACAATATGATCTAATATTGAAAAAATTGGAAGATTTTTTGAAAAAGTTTTGAACTATGTATAGAAAACATGATGCAGTTTGTGTTGTAACAAACAAGATTTGTATTTTGTTATAAAAAAATCAATCTGTAATATTATATACTTCATAATTTAGAAAACTTGTATTTGACATTAAGTAGAATGATGTTGCACTTATTAGCTAATTTTTTTTATGGATTACAATATGAAGTGAAGAAATTAATATTCAATTTATTGAATCTTCAAACATTAAGTCAAGTAATTAATTTTGCTATAAAGTATGACAATCAACAGTTTGAATTTTGGTCTAAAAATCACACAAGTATACTTTAATGTTATTACAATTAAATGGAAATACTAATGTTTTCTTAATACATACCTTCAAAAGTAGAAGATATGCAAATTGATGCAATGTATTTCAAACTTGTTATTAACTAAGAAAAGACTTATTATTGTCAAGAGGGATTTTATTTATATTATAGAAAATCAAAGAAAATTGCTCAACATTATCCAAAGAAGCGATACAATCATAAAATGAGAAATATAACTATAAAAGAAGACAATATATCAAAAAGTGAGTTTTTTCAGCTTTAATAGGGATTATGTAGCTAGAACCTTATACAAGACTTAATAAAGGTCATATTCTCTCTTTAAAATCTTCTCCTTATTTTATAATAGATATTAGTTTAGAACCTAAATATCATAAAGCCTCTATCTTGTTAGATTTAAGAGCCTCACCTTATTTTTTAAATAAAGAATTTTTCAAAAGATATAATATATTTTTAATAGAGAAAATAAAATATATTCATATAGAAGTCATAGATGGTTATTTATTGTCCTTTTGAGACACTATTCATGAAATATTTCTTCTAGAAATAGTAATTAATGGTCATAGTAGCTTTATAGTATTTAATATCATTAGGTTTCTTTATAATCTAGTTTTTTTTAGATCTATTGTGGTTAAAAAAGTACAATTGTTGAATAGATTGGATTTCTTGTTGTCTTCACTATTCTAACAGTATAACTAAGAGTATAATTAATCAAATAAATAGTGATAAGTATAGTACAATCAAACCTATATTTGTAGATGCAAGAGCTTTCTTTGTATGCTATAAAAGAAGAATCAGCTTCATATCACACATATTTCTAATGGTAGAAGATTTCAAATAGCATTCTTAATCAATATCAAAATTTTCCAAATGTATTTGAAAAGAAGAATGCAAATACTCTTCTGAAACATTGTTTTTATGACTACTCAATTGACTTTCAAAAAAGAGCTCAACTGTCATTTGAATCAATCTACACTTTATTACAAAATTAATTGGCTAAACTCAAGGAATATATTGAAGAAAATCTAGCTGGGAACTTCATACGCCATTCCAAATCTCCAAATATAGCTCTAATTTTATTTGTAAAGAAAAAAGATGGATCATTGCAAATGTGTATAAATTATTGAAGACTCAATAAGATCACCATCAAGAACATGTACCTGCTACTTTTGATATCTAGACTTCTTGATCAGTTGAATCAAGCTAAGATCTATATAAAAATAGATCTATAAGAGCATATAATCTAGTATGCATCAAAAAAAGAAATAAATAGAAGACTACATTTTGAACTAGGTATAAATATTTTGAATATAATGTCATATCTTTTGGACTTATAAATGCACTAGCAACTTTTTAACATCTAATGAATGATGTCTTTTGAGAATTTTTAGATGATTTTATTATTTGTTATTTGGACGACATCTTAATCTATTCTAAAAATACAAAAATATGAAATTTATGTTTGTTATATATTACAAAAATTAACAGATGCAAGACTCTATGCTAAGATGAAAAAATGTGCATTTTATATTATTCAAGTCTACTTATGATATATAATTTCAAATGATGAATCCTGAAAAAATTCAAATTATTATAGATTTAAGATTCCAAAAATGATAAGAAATGTTTAATACTTTATGAAATTTTCCAAATATTATTGGATCTTTGTGAAGGACTTCTTTTAAGTTGTAGCTCCATTTATATGTTTGACTTGTAAAAATAAACTTTAACAGAATCAAGAAGCAAAAATAGCATTTGAAGCTTTCAAAAAAAATCTTTGTTTTTGCATCAATCTTATATCATGTCAACTTTTTTAAGCCATTTTTTTATAGAAACAAATGCATCAAATTTTGCTTTGGCTGTCATTTTATCACAAATGAAAATAAATAATAAACTTCATTCTATAGCTTTTCATTCCAAAAAATGTTTCATAGCTAAGATCAACTAAAAAATCCATAATAAAGAACTTCTTACAATCTTGGATTTATTTCAAAAATGGCACTATTATCTATAAAGTACTCCTAGTCCAGTTGTCATATATACAAATCACAAGAACCTTGAGTATTTTATATCAATACATGTTTTGAATTTTTGCTAAGCTTGCTAGAGTATGTCTTTGTCAAGATTTAAATTCAAGATTACTTATCGACTAAAAAAATAATAAGATTTGTTAGATATACTTTCTAGACAAATTTATCTTGCACCAAATGAAAGAGATGTTGTTTTTAATCAATAACAAATAATTCTCTTGAAGCTAGGGCATTTTCATCTTCAAATAATGAAATCAATATTAGCTGTTGATTCAACTTTCATTAAGTAAGTTCATTCAAGTATGTCTTTTGATCTTCTTATTTGTGATATTAATAAAAAAAAAAAAAAAAATCTTTTTAAATCTCATGATATTTCTAAGTTTGAATTTTAAAATAATCTATAATATTTTAAGGGACACTTATATGTTCCAAAAGATGAAGCTTGATTACATATCTTTTAAGCTCGTCATGACTTTCTAGCAATGGGACATTTTGGATACAATAAGACTTTGAAACTAATATCTTAGGATTTTTGGTGGCTCCAAATGTAGAAGGCAGTTAAAGATTTTGTACAATCCTATGATATTTGTTCGAAATCAAAAACTCCTTATCATCTACCTTACAGATTTTTTTAACCATTACTTATTTCAAAACAACTATGGTCTTTTGTTTCTATGGATTTTATTACAAATCTTTCAATCTTAGATTCTTATGATTTTATATTCATGATAGTAGATTGTTTCATCAAGATAGCATATTTTGTACCATGTAAAAAATCTATCACAAGTAAAAAATAATTAAGTTTTTCTTTGACAACATCTATTGCTATCATGGATTACCTAAAGATATTATATTGAATAGAAAAACTTAGTTTATATCAAGATTTTAAAGAATGTTCTTCAAGATTCTAAAGATGGATATAAAACCATCTTTGACTTTCTATTCTAAAATTGATGGACAAATACAATGTATAAATCAAGTTTTGGAGCAATATTTGAGATATACTATCAACTATCAACAAGATGATTGAACAACTCTTTTATCATTCACAAAGTTTGTTTATAATAATATGATATAATTTTTTATGCAACAAATACCTTTCTTTGTTAATTATGGTTATCATCCATAACTTAATGCTTTTGACTTTTTAATAGTTAATAATCCTATGGTAGAAGATTTGACAAATTATTTATCTGAAATACATACAACAATAAAGGTGCAACTAAAAGAGGCTCAAAAATAACAAAAGAACGATGTAGATGCCTATTGCAAGTAGCAGCTTCATTTCCACATTGGTGATAAGATATGGTTACTTTGTTGTAATATTAAAACTATTTGTCCTTATGACAAGTTGGATTACTTTAGACTTGGACCATTTCCTATTTGTAAACAAGTTAATCCAGTCGCTTATCAATTACATCTACTAGAATCTATGAAAATCCATCTTATATTTTTCGTATTTTTTTTAGAGCCATATAAGACAATAAATATCTCAAAAAGAAGGCAAATACCATCACCTCTTATAGAAGTGGATAATAATTAAGAATTCGAAGTGAAAGAAGTCTTAGATTTTGGGTTGCATTGACTTAGGTTATAATATCTTATTCATTGGCATGGATACAATATTAACAAATGCACGTGAGAGCCAACAAAAAATCTTACAAACGTTACAGAGAAGCTCAAAGCTTTTCATCAACAACATCTATCAAAATGAAGATAGAAGATAGCAAATCTTTGCCATAAAAGAAACACAATTTTAAAAATATTGTATTCTATCCTCTATTCTTGTTTGTAGTTTCCATATAATTGTGGCATTAAGGAGATGGAAAATTAACAAGCAATAGATTTAACTTAAGAGCCACCATTTATTAATTTACTAGATGAAACATTGCAATTATCATAGCTTTTAAGACGACATAATAGGAATAAAGATCTTCAAGAGCTACATGTTTTTCTTCGAATAGATGGCAAGATACAATACATTTGGTATCACAACTTGAGAAGAAAGTCTTAATGTTTGGTGATTTTATTAGAAGTAAGAATAATTCTTGACAGTATTAGAAATGTTTTGTTTGAAAGAAGTTACAATGGTCTCAACAATATTCATATAATAGGGTAATATTCTCGCCTTAAAATGAGACATTATTGATGGCTAAGAAGACCTATCAACTACCTTCAAAGGAAACAAAGACCACAGTATATAGCAAATACAATTCACTGCATCTCAGACTTTTTCAATATGTGACCTTTATTCCTTGTGGAACTTGTCCTTAGAAGAGAGAAGTAATGTTATGAACATATATTTTTTTATAATTTTTACCTAAATAATATAAATAGATAGAAGTAAATAAAAATAGATTAATTTCATAATATATTCTAAAAAAGCTTCTTAGAAGCTTTATAGATGTTGTTTTGACTTTACATGTATTTTTACTTTCTATTTTGTCATACTATTTTGAAAAAGCTTCATTGATTTATTTATTTTCATTGAGTTCTTGTCCTTGATATTTTAGCAAGAAGCAAAGTAATCAAAAATATTATTATAAGATAAACTTAAAATCAAGTTGGATGTGTATTCAAATATACATATTTAAATATGTATGTTATAATACCTTTTAATTTTTGAAAGTAATAATTAGAACAAAAACATATTATTATGTTAGATTTTTAAAAAGGTTGCATTAAAACATTCAATACACTTCATTAAATTTCTTTCATCATATTTTTGTCAAAAATTAGTTTAACATATTCAATCTATGTCATAGAAATAAATAAAGAAATAAATAAAATCTTAAAATTCAGATAATACATAATATAATAAATAAATCAAAGATATATATTTTTTTATTTTTTTATTTTTTTAAATAAATGAAACTTACTTTTTGTAGTTAAAAGTAAAATGTGATTTTAGAATATAAAAGATTGGCATGTTGAGTTGAATTTTTGGTTGTGCATTAATAATATATTTTTGGATTTATATTATTATTACTCTATTACACTTTGTTTTACATATTAAAGTATACATTATTGAAACTAGTAATAAATATTTTAAGTTAGTATAATATATATATATATATATATATATATATATATATCATTTCTAATATATATATATATATATATATATATATATCATTTCTAATATATATATATATATATATATATATTAGAAAAGATGTATGATATATTATTCTTGTTAAATTGGAGATTTAAAAATGTGATCATAAAACACATCAAATACCTTGGCAATAATAAAAACATTAAAATCTTGTTGGAATTGATGCAATTGATGCTTCCATTAACTTTAAGCATCTCTTTTAGTTATTTGATAAGAAGTCAAAATTTATTAAAGATTATTTTTTATATTTGTTGATATTTTAATATCTAATTATAGAAATAAAATTATTATAGAAATTCTTTAAATGGTTATCATTATTAAAATATCAAATTTAATTTTAATTTAACTTTAAATATATATATTTCAAACCCCTTTATATTCTTCTGAAAATAATAATGATAATAATTATACAGAAACAAACATGTTACCAATTGCTCACATCCAGTTTCTTTATTTTATATTTTAAACAATGGTTGCAATCTTCTCTATAATTTCTTGAAAAATACAATATAAAGCAACCACTACTTCTCATTCTTTTACATTGCAACAACTTTTTATCTGCAAAAAATTACACAAATCTAAGTCAATGTGTTCCACATAGTCTACTGTGTTCCACATAGTTTACAGTCTTGGTAAAATCTTGTATCATTTCACTTCTTATACTCTTGTGCAGATATTTTAAAATATTGCAATTATGAATATTCAATTCGAATAATATTATTTCTTCATTCTTCTTTGTAGATTTTTTTTCTCTCTATGTAGATAAGAACAAATATGCATTAACCCTAAACAATTTTATAAAGGAAAGCCCAAAATTGCTCGCTCTCTTTAGGGGAAGGAGCTGCGTGTTGTTAGGGCATTAAATGACACTTTCAAAAATTAATCACTAAACAAATTACATTCCATAGTTATCACTCAAAGTATGATGTAGACAAAATAAGGATTTAAATGTTAACTGAAAAAATATGGTCAATCCAACAATTCATTGAAATCTGAATTCTTTACCACAGTTGAACCTTTATTTGTGCAATTCGCTGCCTGATCAGCTACTATTTTGGTATGGATAACATAACCACCTCAGAAATCCACACATGTGAGATCCTTAGTGCAGCAAATGTCAAACTTTGACTTTGATATCCAAAAGCATTAGATTTCACGACAAAGGTTAATTCTCCTATACTCTCTAAACGCGGCGTTAACTTTTAACCAGGATCATCTATAACCCATCACTTTTCTTATAATACATTGAATCATAACTTCAAAAGAAAGCACAAAAGGCAAGACATGCATAGGTGGTCCCCGTGACCTCCCAGTACTACTAGGACTCGAATTTCCCTTCCAAATCACATTTCAGCTCAGCAGAAAATATTTGCTAGCATGTTGCTTGTGGCCTAAGACTTGGCTTACCTGAAAATAAAGAGAGTGGCTAAGCCTACCTGTTAAAATGAAGTTGTTCAACCCCATACCTCCTCTAATTCACCTTCATAAAATCGATATGAAATTCGCTAACTGTCAATATTACACAGAATACTGACAGGTTCTTTTATAACAGTTTCTTATTGTAAGAAAGGACATAACGGCAAATCCACTGAACTACTACATCTCTGTTCTAATCCGAGTGCCGATCTCTTTAGTAGCACATTTGGATACCTCTTTCTCAATCCTAACAACGATCTGTCCCATCAGGTTCTTCAGAATATCTAGTCAGTAGTCGCGGGTCTAGACATCACGTTTTCCACGGGATTCGTCGCACTTGTAGGTCGTGCTTCGTTAGACACCGCCTTCGACATACCAAACATCTGCATCGTAGCATGTGAAGGTGTCAAAAACCTGGACGTATATCTTACCCACGCGTTTCCTTCAGGGTTTCATAAGCAGTCCAGAATGCAACTGCGTATTTCAATGGAAGGAATATAATATATATATATATATATATATATATATATATATATATATATGTGTGTGTGTGTGTGTGCCAATATAACATCAATTGCCCATGGTATTTGATATAGCTTAAAATCAGTTCGAGGTCACTTTCAGCTTATCCGATTACTCCTCAAAACTTCAATCTGCTATTCTGAAAGGGAGATTTACCTCTCAAACCTAACAGAAAGTACCCGTACATGTCGGATGCGTCAAAGAGATGCATGCATATTGCAAGCACTACTTTATAATACACTACGCAAAAAATTGTATGAAATTACTTGCAAGGATTCTTAAAACCTAATTGGTATCCAAATCTAACCTTCCGTTTCCAAATTCGGAAAAATTACATCTTAAACGTACAAATTAGAATGTAGCAGCAAGTAGATCGAAACACACAGAACGCAATTCGAACCTGTTTCCTACTCTAAAAACGTGTGCTTCCAGTGCATCAAATTTTATGCCTCCAAACACTTTCTAGCTGATACGACATGCAGAGAAGCAGAAAATTCATGCGAAATGAAGCCACCGCCAAGAATGACAAATCTAACAAAATCCCCGATAAATCTCCACACGCGAAGACTAGAGCGCGTGCGCGCTATCTTTCAAACCCTAATTTCCGACCCTCAATCCTGCCGAGGAAAACAAAGGCCGAAGCGCCGCCAAGAACAACAATCGGTACCACCCACAAACAACACACCTTGTGAAGCGTTTTCTCCAAGCAAGTCTTGTGCTCATCGTACGACGCATGCACAAATTCATCGATATGGTCAAGGACGTCTCCAAAGAAGGTCGAATTCTCCGACTTCTTCTTGCGGCATGAAGTCGATGCCTGCGGCGCCGCTTGCTCAGATTTCACGCTCTGCTGCGGCTTCGGCTCCTCCGCCTGGCTCATGGTAACCCAGAACTTTCAACGATTCTCACAGCAAAACAAATCTCTGTCTGCAAACACTGCAATCGCTCCTCACAAACGATATCCCCACTCACTCAGCTACCAAAATAGAGCACAACAACAACAACTACAAACTGTTTCACTAAATCCGTCCGTCCCGAAGTGAAATCCGCATGAAGCCAGTGGAGCAACGATGACGATGCGATGAGAGCGGGACTGAACAAGTGCTGACGCCACGAAGGAAGGAACGGAGGATGGTGCCTGAGAGCATTCCACAACCGTCGAGAAGGTTCCCCGCCCCTGACGCCGTGTGGGAACTTTCATTGGGGCATTTGTTGCAATGCTGAGCTGGAGGCTCTTGGACATTGGGGTGCACAATTTTGCTATTTCAATCTTTACGGTTATAATTTACTCGTGTATCTTATTTTTTGTTGCATGTCTTTAATTTCCTTTGTTACTAGTATTTCTTTGGTCACAAGAGTTTTCCAATATTGAATACTAAAAGATTGAGCATTGCAAATATAAGCAAAAATTAATAAGTTTTTTTGACTAAGTATTAAACATTATCTTTTAATCTACATTGAAATTGATTGATAAGAGCTTTATCATTCTAATCCACCTCACAAGCAAAATTTTGGAATTTGGCAACACATGTGGTAGCTAAACATTGTTGTGATATAACATGGCTAATAGGTGAAAGAATATAGAAAATATTATATTATAGAAGATCTTATTTCAAAATATTGTAGCAAATTATCTTAGAAATATAGATAATAGTCAAAAGGTAGTAAAACTAGAGTTTCAAATATTTCCTTTTTGCAAAGTGGGCTTTTACTTATTTTATAAGTAGAAGGTAGATAAGACCATAATAAGACAAAATAAGGTAGATTAGAAAAATAAAAGACATAGGCATATATATATATAAGGAAGTTAGGAGTTGATTTTAGCAAAAATTACCTCAAGAAACCAAAAATTGATACTTGAAGAGAACTAGTTTGTTCTTAGATTGAAATCAGACCCAAAGGAACAAAACCATGCACTTACAACGACTTCGAGGTTCTTTTGTAAATCTAAAAATAGGATATGAGATATTACTTTATAAATTTTTTTAGAATAATAGTTTCAATTGATTTGAGTTTATAATGACTTTGTAAAAGCTTTGCAAAATCAAGGTTGTTTTGGATTTATGAAATAAAATAGGATTTAAAATTTGAGGAATTTTGTGAGTTATAAAGTAGATCTATAAATAAAATTTTGTGGAATTAAGAGTATAGTTGTATTAAATATATATTATAGATTGGAACTTAATCTAATGATTGGATTAGAGGTTATTGAAGTTCAAGTGGGTTATGGTTTTAGAAATTAGATTTTAGGTCTAATAAGATTATTAAAGTTTTGTAACAATTTGCCAATTGGATTGAGGTAATTTTTGTTGGAGCTAATAGTTGGCTTGACTTCCAACATTTGTGTAAAATTTGGACACAAGTTAACAGTTCAATTAAGAGTTATTGTTGTTGGAAGATCAATATTAAGGTCAGAGATGCAGGCCGGCTGACTTTAGAATGGATTATGACATTTTTCTCCCATTTTGTAAGTTCAATTCTCATTAAATTTGTTGTACTTGTTGTTAACTAAGAGATTGAGAGGTATGTAAAATTTTAAGCAAGATCAACGGTTAAGTCAATAGATAATGAGGTTCTAAAACTACCTTAGGATTGATTTGAATTGGTTAGGTTTTGATAAGGGTTTTTTAAGAAATTGCTTAGGATTTTATTAGAATTTGGTTTAAGATTTTATTAGAATTTTATTTAGAATATAGGATCTAATTAGGATTGATTTAGGATTTATAATTTCTTTAGGATTTTTTTAGGATTTCATAAGGATTTCTTTAGTATTCTTGTGAATTCTTTTTAGATTTCTTTGAATTTGTTTTAGAATTCCTTTATTCTTTCTTTATGATTTTTTAAGAATTTCTTTAGGATTTCTTTGTATCTTTTTTATAATTTATTTGAAAATTTAAATAGGCTTGAATAATATTTAATTATGTTTTTTAAGTTTTAATTGTCATTTATATATGATTCTATTAGAGTTTTTAGGACTTGTTGTTGCGAATTTCTATTACCTTCCACAGTCAAGTGCCCAATGCATTCTCAAGTAAGACTTCACATAATACAAAAATGTGACTTCTCTTAAAGATTGGAATATTGTTTGTGCTACCTTTTTTTTAATTGCTTTCTCGAAATCTGGTTGTAAACACTTCTAAAAATGAATTTAGATCATATAGGAATTGTGGATAATTTTCTATCAATAATACAAAACAAGAGAGAATATTTCTAGATAAGAGTGCTCTTGTAAATCCAATATGAATAAATCCTTAAGGACATTGAGAAAGATGTAACCTCAATTAAATCATAACTTGTTGTAAAAATCCTTGAAATTTTGATTTTATTCCATCAAACTTCGTTAGCATACAAATCTTTGCTTCTTTTATACTTATAGTATTAAGGCTTTTTAGACTCATTAGTAACATTGATGTACTTACTTTTATCAATTGCACAACTTTTTAATATAGATATTAGACCTCATTGTTGCTTTCTTCCATAAATATAGAAATAATACTATCATAGTTGATAGTAGAAATATGTGAAAATTTTACTCTAAGAGTATTGAGAAGTGTCACGGACATACATATGTAAGCCAATAATTACATGTATAAATAGGTAGAAGTAAATAAAAGTAGGTAAAAGTAAGTTAATTCTATAACATTTGATATGAAAGCTTCCTAGAAGCTTCATAGATGGTACTTTTACTTTATAAGTGTCTTTAATTGACTTTTTGGATTAGAAACGTAGTCAATAAGTTGGCCATGTGCCACACATGTTGTTAGCTTGAAGACCAAGCTAACTATGTGGTCCACACATAGAAAAACTTGCCTTGTAAGTCAAGGCATGTGTCCTACAAAGTCAACACATATTGGAGGTCCTATAGAACGTTGCCATGTAGCTCTTACTTAGATAGTATATATAAAGACAAGAGTGAAGCCTTCTTCACTCTTGTCAACTCCTTTCTTGCTTCTAGTCTAGTTTCAAGGGTCTCTAGTTTTCTTGTCTTTTGGCAATAGCCATTCCAATTTCTCTTTCAATATACATACTTTTTTATTTATATTTTGTTACTTTTCTTTGAGTGAAGGCTCACTTGTCTGAATTGCCTTTTCATCGAATTCTTGTCCTTGACAGATTCATAAGAATACACCTACAATATCAGAGTTTTATCTAATCTTGATTAAGAGTGGATTACCCTTTTTTCTTGATAACACATAAGCATATTAGAAGTTGTGGATTACCCTCTTCTAAACTGATATTATCGTTAGTATTTTCTTTGTTCTCAAGTCCTCTCTTCTATTTGTCTTGAGCAATATTAGACATCTTCTCTTTTTTAAGTATTATCATGACAGAACTTATTAAGCTCTGACGGTGGGAGCCAATTTCGGATCTAAGACGGAAGATTGAAGAAATTCAGAATTAAGGTTAAGAAATGAGAGGGGGAGAGGAGAAGTTTTTAAAGGGTTTTGAAGGATCAGAGAGCGAGCTTTATGCTTCGGAAAGGAGAAAAAAAACAGAGAATTGGGTTTTTTTTCTTCATAGGGTTTTGAAAAGAGTGAGGCAATCGTTGCTGAAGTCAGTATTGTAATGGTCAATCGGGATTTTTAATGAAGTGGGTTTGATTACTCTTGACTGTTTTGTGAAATCAAGTTACGTCTGTGATTGAAGAATTAAAAGGGTGTCTATAGGATTGAGTATGCGGAGTGAATGAAATTTATTGGGTTAATCTAACAAGACAGTCAGTGGATACAAGATCGTGAGTATAAAGCGGTATCGGAGATTAGTAGATTAGATTATTTGGGGTTCTCTGTAACGTCTAGAGACCTACCGGCTGGGACAAAAAGGACTTTGGCGAGTAGTCGAAGGGCATCTGTATAGATTTACAGTATATTCTTGCAGTTGTTTATATTCCAACAGTCAAAAACCGATAGACTACTTGAATATTAGCAAATCTCCATACTACCTTCTACAGCCAGATGCCCAGCGCGTTCTCGAGTAGGAAAGCACGTAATACGACAAAAGTGGTGAACCCGACGTGAAAGCTTGATATGGAAGGTATTGGATTTCGTTTGGTTTTATTTTTATTTTATGGAAAACAAAAATAAAAATTTTGAAGGATCTTTGGGAGGAGTTTATGGTGGGGGTTCTTTTAGAGGAAAAGGTATGCACATGGATCCGTCTTTTGCTAGTATGTTTCAAGCCTTCTCATTATCAATGCAGCAACAGCAAAGCAATGATCGAAAGGAAGCTTTGGCAACCAAAGCATTCCAAGCAGTGGTCAATAAAATTGATCAATTTGATGGAAGGAATATTTCAAGGTATTTAAGATGTTATGTTCGTGAAATGGAATTAAATCGGGTTTCTGAGAAGAAAATGGTTGAATTATTTGGACTTGCCACAATACCAGAGATAAGTGACCATATTACATCGATTATGGATCGTTATGGGAATTCATGGGAGGTTTTTTCACATGCATTGAAAGAAGAATATTTCTTGAAAGATGTTGATCGCGTTACTAAGAAGCTGTTTCTGGAATGGATTGAATGGCCCAATAAGAATTTGCAAGCAACAGAGCTACTAAGGGAATTTGAGAGGCAGTACTCTCAATTATCGAATGTAGAAAAATTGACATTGGAGCCGAACAAAGTTGATCTATTTCTTCAAGCTACTGATGGAGAATTGCAAGGGAAATTAGAACTCCTTCTTGAAGACAAAGAAGAAGATGAAGGATTGACAACAAAGTGGAAGAATGTTGAAGATGCGATGGGGTTGCTTACAAAAAAAGAAAGGAGGAAGGATAGGAGCAATATTCCGAAAACAGAACAAGCACCCAAAGCTCCAGTACGTACAACACCACCAACAATGCCTACAATTCAATCTTCAACATCCTTATCAAAGAAAGCAGATATGGGGATGGAAGAAATTATACGAGGAATGCGAGATCTTCAAATCAAATTAGCAAGACTTGAAGAGAATACTTCTACAAACAATTCGAAGAATGTTTCAAAACAAGGATACGTACAAAGATGCATTTGGTGTGATGATGCTTCACACACTAGAAAAGATTGCAATGAATTTAATAATATAATACAGCAAGAAATTATTTGTTGGAAAGATGGGAAGATAGCATTAAA